CCCAGTTCTTTCTGCCTTCTTCCCTCTAAACAGATCAAAATAGGATGACAAAGTTAGAATGCCTTTATGAGTGGAAAAAATAACATTTTAAGAGTTTTTTTTTTTAAGAAAAAACATAAATCCAGTAAATCAACAGTTTTTTTTTTTCTTTTTGCAATGTGTAAGTAAGCTTCGGTTGGGATTCTTTAAACAGTCAGTATAAATAACAGAGCTCTAGCTGCATGCTTGCCATGCTGGACGTAAATAGCCTACCGTATTTGGAATTGTTCTAGATTAGGAAATTAGTTAAAACTATAACAAGGAAAATTCGAGTCTGATTCCAAATATTCCAGATATATGGGGAAGGTCACCAAGAAGAGTCCCCACCTGGAGGGCTGCAGAGGTACAATGAACCAGGAAGGGGAGTTTCTGCTGAGTTTGCCTTTCACCATGCCAGAGGGAACGGTTGGACACTGAGTAACATCACAAGAGTGAAAAAGGAGAAAAAATGTTTTTGTGTCTGTTGCAAAAGGCCAGAATACCTCACATCTAATTAGGGCCTAATTAGGTTCTGCTAATTGATGGGGACTTAACTTTTCCATGACCACAACTGTGAATGAAACAGAAGAATGTCATTGACTCATGTTAGTGTTGAAGTTTCATTCAATACACACATAGTCCATTCCATGATCCACAAGGATTTCATTGAATTACAATTCTTTTTTTGTATCATATACACAGATATATATGCTATTGTTTATGCATTTAGCTTGAAAGATGACTTTTTTTTTTTTTTGCCTCAAAGCATATTATTAACCCTCTTAGTCTGTTAGGGTTTCAATAATGAAATACAGTCATGCGTCATTTACTGATGGGGATATGTTTGAGAAATGTGTCATTAGACGATTTTGTCACTCTGCAAACATCATAGAGTGTACTGACACAAGCCTAGGTAGTATAGCTTACTACACACCTAGGCTATATTGTATAGCCTATTGCTCGTAGGCTACAAACCTGTACAGCATGTCACTGTACTAAATACTGTAGACAGTTTTAACACAATGGTATTTGTGAATTTTAACATAAAAAGGCACAGTAAAAATGTGGCATAGAAAGATTAAAAATGGTACACTTGTATAAGGCACTTAGCATGAATGGAGCTTGCGGGACTGGGAGTTGCTCGGGGTGAGTTGGTGAGTGGAGAGAGAACGTGAAAGCCTAGGGCATTAGTGTATACACCACTGGAGACGATGAGCTTTGTACTCTTAGGCTATACAAAGTTCATTAATACATTTTTCTTTCTTTTTTTTTTTTTTTTAATTTTTTATTGGATTTTAGGTTTTGGGGTACATGAGCAGAGCATGCAAGACAGTTGCGTAGGAACACACATGGCAGTGTGCTTTTCTTTCCTTTTCCCCTTCACCCACATTTGGCGTTTCTCCCCAGGCTATCCCTCCCCAACTCCTTCTCCCACTGGCCCTCCCCTTTTCCCCCCAATAGACCCCAGTGTTCAGTACTCCCCTTTCTGTGTCCATGTGTTCTCATTTTTCATCACCCGCCTATGAGTGAGAATATGCGGTGTTTCATTTTCTGTTCTTGTGTCAGTTTGCTGAGGATGACGTTCTCCAGATTCATCCATGTCCCTACAAACGACACAAACTCATCATTTCTGATTGCTGCATGATATTCCATGGTGTATATGTGCCACATTTTTCCAATCCAGTCTATTATCAATGGGCATTTGGGTTGATTCCAGGTCTTTGCTATTGTAAACAGTGCTGCAATGAACATTTGTGTACATGTGTCCTTATAGTAGAACGATTTATAGTCTTTTGGATATATACCCAGTAATGGGATTGCTGGGTCAAATGGAATTTCTATTTCTAAGGCCTTGAGGAATAGCCACACTGTCTTCCACAATGGTTGAACTAATTTACACTCCCACCAACAGTGTAAAAGTGTTCCTTTTTCTCCACATCCTCTCCAGCATCTGTTGTCTCCAGATTTTTTAATGATCGCCATTCTAACTGGCGTGAGATGGTATCTCAATGTGGTTTTGATTTGCATCTCTCTGATGACCAGTGACGATGAGCATTTTTTCATATGATTGTTGGCCTCATATATGTCTTCTTTCGTAAAGTGTCTGTTCATATCCTTTGCCCACTTTTGAATGGGCTTGTTTGTTTTTTTCCTGTAAATCTGTTTGAGTTCTTTGTAAATTCTGGATATCAGCCCTTTGTCAGATGGGTAAACTGCAAAAATTTTTTCCCATTCTGTTGGTTGCCGATCCACTCTAGTGACTGTTTCTTTTGCCGTGCAGAAGCTGTGGAGTTTCATTAGGTCCCATTTGTCTATTTTGGCTTTTGTTGCCAATGCTTTTGGTGTTTTGTTCATGAAGTCCTTGCCTACTCCTATGTCCTGGATAGTTTTGCCTAGATTTCCTTCTAGGGTTTTTATGGTGCCAGGTCTTATGTTTAAGTCTTTAATCCATCTGGAGTTAATTTTAGTGTAAGGTGTCAGGAAGGGGTTCAGTTTCTGCTTTCTGCACATGGCTAGGCAGTTTTCCCAACACCATTTGTTAAACAGGGAATCCTTTCCCCCTTGCTTGTTTTTGTCAGGTTTATCAAAGATTGTATGGTTGTAGATATGTTGTGTTGCCTCCGGTGCCTCTGTTTTGTTCCATTGGTCTATATCTCTGTTTTGGTACCAGTACCATGCTGTTTTGATTACTGTAGCCTTGTAGTATAGTTTGAAATCCAGTAGTGTGATGCCCCCCACTGTGTTCTTTTTGCTTAGAATTGACTTGGCTATGCGGGCTCTCTTTTGGTTCCATATGAAGTTCATGGTGGTTTTTTCCAGTTCTGTGAAGAAAGTCAATGGTAGCTTGATGGGGATAGCGTTGATTCTGTAAATTACTTTGGGCAGTATAGCCATTTTCATGATGTTAATTCTTCCTAACCATGAACATGGAATGTTTCTCCATCTGTTTGTGTCCTCTCTGATTTCGTTGAGCAGTGGTTTGTAGTTCTCCTTGAAGAGGTCCCTTACGTTCCTTGTGAGTTGTATCCAAGGTATTTTATTCTTTTTGTAGCAATTGTGAATGGCAGTTCGTTCTTGATTTGGCTTTCTTTAAGTCTGTTATTGGTGTAGAGGAATGCTTGTGATTTTTGCACATTGATTTTATATCCTGAGACTTTGCTGAAGTTGCTTATCAGTTTCAGGAGTTTTTGGGCTGAGGCAATGGGGTCTTCTAGGTATACTATCATGTCGTCTGCAAATAGAGACAATTTGGCTTCCTCCTTTCCTATTTGAATACCCTTTATTTCTTTTTCTTGCCTGATTGCTCTGGCTAGAACTTCCAGAACTATATTGAATAGGAGTGGTGAAAGAGGGCATCCTTGTCTAGTGCCAGATTTCAAAGGGAATGCTTCCAGTTTTTGCCCATTCAGTATGATATTGGCTGTTGGTTTGTCATAAATAGCTTTTATTACTTTGAGATACGTTCCGTCGATACCGAGTTTATTGATTTCTTTCTTTAATAGTAAGTTAACCTTAGCTTATTACAACTTTTTAACTTCATAAACCTTTATATTTTTAAACTTTTCACTCTTTCTTAATAACATTTAGCTTAAAACACAAACACATTTCACAGCTGTACAAAAAATTTCTTTCTTTATAACATTATCCTATCAGCTTTTTTCTATCAAAAAAAAATTTTTTTTACTTAAATTTTTTTTTTGTTGTTAAAAACTAAGACACACACCTTAGCCAATGCCTACATGGGGTCAGGATCATCAATATCACTGACTTCTCACTCCACATCTTATCCCACTGGAAGGTCTTCAGGGGCAATAACACATGTGAAGCTGTCACCTTTATGACAGCAATGCCTTCTTCTGGAGTACCTCCTAAAGGACCTGCCTGTGGCTACATTACAGTTAAGTTTTCTAAGTAGTAGTAGGAGTATTTTGTCTAGTATTAAGATAAATAGTATAGTAAATACATAAACCAGTATCTTAATTATCCCTTATCAAGTATTATATACAGTCCTTCGTTACTGTATTGCTGTACATTTATACAGCTGATAAGGTGCAGTAGGCTTGTTTACGCCAACATCATCTCGGACACATGAGGATGTTATGTCTGCCATGATGTCACTAGGCAATAGGAATTAGGATTATAATCTTACAGGACCACCATTGTATATTGGGTCCATCGTTGAAGCATCATTATGAGGGACATTACTGTACCTTAAGCTGAGTAATTTATAAGCAACAGAGATGTATTGCTTATAGTTCTGCAGGCTGAGAAGTTCAAGATCAAGGTGCCAGCAGGCTCTGTGTCAGGTGAAGTCCTATTCCTCATAGATGGCACCCTCTCTATGTCCTCATGTGACAGAAAGTGCAAGGGAGCTCACTGGAGCCTCTTTAATAAAGGCACTAATAGGCCAGGCATGGTGGCTTATGCCTGTAATCCCAACATTTTGGGAGGCCAAGGCAGGTGGATCACCTGAGGTCAGGAGTTTGAGACCAGCCTAGCCAACATGGTGAAACCCCATCTCTACTAAAAAAAAACCAAAAAATTAGTGGGCATGGTGGCAGGTGCCTGTAATCCTAGCAATTTAGGAGGCTGAGGCAGGAGAATTGCTTGAACCCAGGAGGCGGAGGTTGCAGTGAGCCAAGATTGCACCATGGCACTCCAGCCTATGCAACAAGAGCAAAACTCCATCTCAAAGAAAACAAACAAACAAGCAAACAAATAAATAAAGGCACCAATCCCATTTATGAGGATGAAGCCACACTAACTTAGCCACTTCCCAAAGACCCTGCATCTTCATACTATCACTTCGGGTATTAGATTCCAACATATGAACTTTTGGGAGACATCAGCATTGAGACCATGGCAATAACAAAAAGTACATAGATTTGATGAACGTGGTATCTGCTTACTTTGTTAAATTAACAGATGAAACGTGAATGTTTTTTATAGAAGAACTAACTTCAATCTTTTACAACTTTCAGGGCCTGTAATTCAGTGTTTACAGCATTAGACCACTGTCATGAAGCCATAGAAATAACAAGCGATGACCACGTGATTCAGGTATGGCAAGAAACCACCTATATCATTAACATCAAAAAAGAACCTTTCAGGTTTAAGCCACGCTTTTTATCAAGTACTTTCCCATCATCCTCATATATCAGCATATTTTCTTAGGAGAAACAAATCTCAAACTGTGCAAAGAATACTGATAGACTTAAGAATTAGATATTCGATAAAGAACAAAAACTTACTACTTTAGATCAGAGCCTGCAATTTCTTTGATAGAAATGGGGTTTAAAAAAACAACGGCTTATTTTGTTGAGACAGATTCTCACTCTGTTACCCAGGCTAGAGTACAGTGGTAATCTTAGCTCACTGTAATCTCCATCTCCCAGGATCAAGAGATTCTTGTGCCTCTGAGTAGCTGGGATTTCAGGCATTTGCCACCACACTCAGCTAATTTTTATATTTTTAGTAGAGATGGGGTTTTGCCATGTTGGCCAGGCTGTTTGCAAACTCCTGACCTCAGGTGATCCACCTGCCTTGGCCTCCCAAAGTGCTGGGATTACAGGTGTGAGTCACTGCACCCAGCCAGAACTGGGGTAAACTCTTTTGACCATCTGTGAAGACCCTATTCACATAGAGTAAGTCAGAATGGTACAGTAAATGCTTATAAATGCCTATGAAACGAATATTTTCAAAGATACTCATTTATTTGCCTATAGTGGGTATTCTAATTATAAAGCATTCTTACCTGAATGTCATCTTCCTAAGGAAATGTTTGTAGCAGAGAAACCTTTCTAGAAATGAGGTGTTCTTATTATAATTGTTGTAAAGTAAGACATCTGTATTTGTAAAATACTCTGAAATGTAGACTTTCCACTAATTGGTGCTTCGTTATCTGCAGTTGGTTTGCAGAGTGGCATGGAGTGTGAGGAGCACTTGTTGTCATCAGTAGGGCACCAAAGAAGTGGGCGTGACACAGTGAACCCCACGGCAGAAGCCTCACATTTGTCTGCTCTGAAGTCTCCCAGTGCGCACACACACACCCTGTTCTCATACCACACCAATGACATCAATAGCCTACCCTGCCTAGGCCCTGTCATCAGCACTTTCATTAAGTTATCTCATTTCTATTCAGTAGGGGTAGGAAAGAGACATCATTGCCCTGTAGTACAGATGAGGAAACTGAGTCCCAACAAGGTCAAGGAGCTTATCCAAGAAAAGCCTTAGTAATAAGTATTGGAACTAAAATATATAGTCATGTCTCCAAAGCCTTCCTACCTGGTTTCCTGTTTAGCTGTATTTTTAGAAGATGTTTTCTGGCTGCTCCTTGAAATCTATCTGAAGGCTTCCTCATGTTGCTGGCTGTTAGTGGCCCACCTGCCCACAGGTCTGCCTTCTGGACCACAGAGAGAGCCAGATGTGTTTCTGTTACAGACCAAGCACAAAAATCCCACATCTCCCCCACTTATACCCAGACTTGAATAATCAATTCTATTCACGAAGCACATTTTCTTTGCACCTCCCTGTTTTGCACTGTGCAGCTGGATTTGATTTCAGAAATGAAGAGAAGGGGCTCCACTAGCTGTCCCTCTCCACCTGTAATCTAACAAACAACTTCTAGAATAGGGAACAGAGTCTTTCATTCTCCAGTTATCAACTGGTGGTTAGAAAGCCTGTATCCCTGGGAGAGGTAATATTGTGATGGTGTCACATTATGATATTAATCATCTCCCAGCCTTTGCCGTGAACAGAAAGAAACAGGAGCATGAGGCCAATATAATAGATGCTGTAAAGGAGAGGTGGAAGGACAGTCACTGCCTTGGAAGGGAAACTTGGACTCCGACAGAAGACTTTACAGCTCTTTGTTCCCCAGAGAACCTTTACATCCTCCTTTAGAAAAATGTACCGGCAATCTATAGCATGGAACTTAAAACAGGAGGAAGGAGGAAGGAGATGAATAGAGGATGTTGTATGTAAGATGAAATGACCTATGTGCTATACATTTTGAGGATGTCATCATTGGATGGGATAGTTCATATATGTTTTTACCTTGATATCAGCATCCTTTTCAGGGCACCCCAATCAAGTAGTTAGATGCCTTTTTGAGTACAAATCTTCAGAGGTCAGGCAGCAGCACTTAAAATTTAGAAGTAATATCTGTCTGTCTGTCTATCCATCTATTACCTATCCACCCATCTTCCCTCCCTCCTTTCCTTCTTCTCTTCTTCCTTCCATGTCCCCATCAATCTAAACTCTCTCTATATTTGCTTTAAAACACTTAATATGGTACTTGCCATAAATTAGGCTCAGTTCTAAGTATTTTATATACTCATTTATTTCTTAAATCAGTCCTTTGAGTCAGGTATCACTATTGTACTCATTTTGCAGATGAGGAAACTGAGAACCAGGTAAGTTAAGTAATTTGTCCATGGTTTTGTAGCTAGTAATTGGCAGAGCCAGGATTTGAACTTGGGTACCTTGGCTCCGGAATCCATAGCTGGGAGTACCTGTTGCATTGTGAGGTTTCAGAAACCCTGGTGTGAAAGTAGGGCCATGACTTCTACCCAAATTTACGACTTAATAGAGAAGGCAGAATGAACACATATGAAAAGGCATGAGGATATAGCCAACAAATAAAGAAAATAATATATTCTCTAATATTTTCCATTCATTCATCAAATAGTTACTAAATAGTTCTGAGTATCCAAAGATCAATTCAGAATAGTCTTTGCCCTTGAGGAGTTGAATGTCCACTGGGAGAGAGAGATAAACAAAAATTTAAATTCGGTGTAATAAGTCACTGAAAGTCTGCGCAGGCATCAGTGGCAGCTCTTGGGAGTGGACAAGGCAGGGGAGTCAGGGAAGGCTTCCTGGAAGAGGAGAGGGAAAGAGATGGCGAAGAGTATTATAAGCAGAGAGAACACGTGAGGAAAGGCTCAGAGATGAGGGAGACATGCAGATAGCTCAGCAGCCTGCAAGGGTGGGCCAGGGAGGCATAGGGCTGACTTTGTGAGCAGTGGTCACACTGTAAATGTTGCCCTTCTCTGCCTAGGGAGGGCCCTGACTACCGCATGTCAGTGATGGGACCAGGAGAGGGTCTGGATATCCATGAAGACAATGTCAGGCCCACTCCTCTTCATTCACCTACCAAAGGCCTGATGACCAGAGCATCTTGCAAACCCCTTCAACTCTCAGGATTGACTGTGTTAATAGAGGCTGTGTCTCCCAGGGAACAGCTCCCCAAGTGTCCCTGCACCACCCTGTCCATGACTGCTGCCATCGCAGTTGAGGGCAAGAGTGATTAAACTTGGTCTGAACATCTCCAAAGCAGCAGATGGATGCAATTTATGCCCAAAGAAATCCATGACCCAGATGCAGTCTGTTCACTTTTCCCCACATTCTTCACCACTTGTCTGTCTCCACTCAGCCCCCATCTGTGTTCTTTGAAAAGAAATCAGAGGGTGGGACAGGACCTGGGAGTCAGCTAGGGTCATGGCTCTAAATTCTAGGACCCTGGGCAGAATTTTGGAAAGAAACCTCTGAGTCTGCTGGCTCCAGAATCTGCTGAGGGGCGCTTCACACCTGCTGAGCTGAGCACTGAAAGGGCTGCCCCCTGCCCAAGCCATTTAACTGAAATTTATTGTTCCAGTTCTACTAGTAGTGACCCCAACTGTAGCAAAAACTGATTCAGTAAGTGGTGGCAATTGGAAAAGAGACAGGAGAAATCCAGTTGCAGAGATGTGCATAATATAAGCCACCACTGTTGAAAGGAGTTCGTATTTGTTAATTTGTGTGTTTATAAGAGACAGGGTCTTGCTCTGTTGCCTGGGCTAGAGTGCAATGGTGCAATCATAGCTCACTGCAGCCTCAAAACCCCAGGCTCCAGTGATCCTTCTGCCTCAGCCTCCTCAGTGGCAGGGACTACAGGTGTGTGCCACAACACCTGGCTAACTTTTTTATTTTTGTACAGGTAGAGTCTAGCTGTGTTTTCCAGGCTAGTGTTGAACTTTTGGGCCCAACTGATCCTCTTGCCTCAGCCTCCCAAAGGGCTGGAATTGAATTACAGGCTTGAGCCACTGTGCCCAGCCTGAAGCTGTTTTTTTTTTTTTTTTTTTTTTTTTCTTAACTACAAACATATGGACCCAGTCCTAATTCATGTTTCTTTCTCTTTTTTTTTCTCTGAGTTTTTCCTTATTCATGGGGCGGTAGATGGGGGATGAGTTCTCCAAGAGGCTGGTGCTGCTAGATGAGAGCTTCCTGTTTATTCCTGCTGAAGTTTCTTCTGATTTCCTATAGGTGATCAGGATGGCCGTTGAATGAATAAATTGCTGCCAGGAGGGAGGCAACTACTCTAGGAAGGGTTTGGGGATGGAGAGGGGCAGCAGGACCTGGCCAGCCAACTGCATCAGAGAATGTTTGCCCTGGGAACTTCCTCTGGGTCCCAACAAGTCTGCCTACAGGGCACACAGACATTTCACGAACGCTGTCTTGTGTCCCCACACTGATCTCTACCCACCTCCCATTAACAGTATGTCAACCCAGCCTTCGAAAGGATGATGGGCTACCACAAAGGTGAGCTCCTGGGAAAAGAACTCGCTGATCTGCCCAAAAGCGATAAGAACCGGGCAGACCTTCTCGACACCATCAATACATGCATCAAGAAGGGAAAGGTGGGTCACACCCGCAAAATCAATCCACAAACCCTGTCCCCAATGCACTTTTTTTCTGTGAGTCTTAGAATTTCGTTCTTAAGATTAGTTAAGACATTATTTTGTAATAATGTCATAATTAAGTGAAAGCTCTTTTATATTTGCAAAGTGGGTTCATTTTTAAGTTAACTTTGGAACTCAAGTGAATCTGGTGCTTATCATGTTGGTAGAGAATCTGGTGATTCTGTGTAAAAATATTTCATCCTGTGCATGAATATGTCCCATCTGTCATTGCTGAAATATTGTGAGTATCTCTGATCGGAGTTCCACCCAGAGAGCTGTTGTGTTTTTTCAGTTTATCCAGTGTTTGGGGGACTAGACATATTTAATATCAGTATTTACAGGTAGGCCAGGTTTTTTCCCAGTTTTCGTTTTATGTTCTCTGATCACTGTTCGACATACATTTGTAGCTTTCTCCTCCCACCTGCACCTGCTCCTCCAGTGACTTTCCCTTCATCTGGGTGGATGAAGGAAATGGGGGAAGTCTGACAGGAATTTTCCCTGAAGCCCTCTCCTCCTGTGGAGCACTGCCTCTCATTGCTGGAACTGCCTGTGCATTTTCTGTTAAGCGTTCAGAATGCTTCTTCACATACAGTTTCTTTCATCTTCCCTTCTGTGATGTGAAGTAGATAAGCACTGTATCCATTTAATAGATGGAACATTTTAGAGGGATCAGATACATTTGGATCATCGACAATGGTCAAAATATTTTTTTAATTGGGGCAATGAGACCAAAAGGGAAACAAGATATTGTAAACGTTTCCAAAAATTGTTCCCAAAAGAATACAGCCACACATACCAAGATGCATACCAATTAGCCACCTTATATGAGAGAGGGGGCAAGAAATGGCTGCAGGGAATCTCAGTTTCTGATTAGCCAAACCTCCCAGGTTCAGAGAGCAGGGATCTTTACGCTCCCCTTGGCCTCATTCATGGAAACTATGAGGAACCAGACTAACCCCAGAGAAGCCTTGGTTGGGGTGCTGATAGGATGTTTGAAAGATAATGGGCTTCAGCAAGTGTTGAATAGACATGAACTTTTAAGCAGATTTTCTGCTTCCTAATGTGGGCAAGTTACCTAGACTCTCTGAGCCTCAGTTTGCCCATCTGTAAATTTAGTATGATAGTGCCAGGTTCACAGATTGCAGTGAAGATTTTGAGAGAGACCTCAGAAGAATCCCTTGACCTGGTGCCACAGCAGCCATAGGGCTGAGAGCAGAATTCCACCCGCAGGCCAAGTGTCCTGGGAGCTGGGACAGACAGCCTGGTGTTGGATACATGGATCCGTGGTCTTGTCTTCACACATGCAGCCATGTCAGCATTGCAGTGGGTACAACAATATAGCAGGCATTGTAAAATGAAACGAAAGCATGTGGGAACTTTACTCCTCAGCCTGCTGAGACCCTCTGCAGGAGCAGCTGTCATCCTTGACTGAAGGATTTTAAGAGCTCTCTTTGTCCATGTAGGAGTGGCAGGGGGTTTACTATGCCAGACGGAAATCCGGGGACAGCATTCAACAGCACGTGAAGATCACCCCAGTGATTGGCCAAGGAGGGTGAGAGCAAACTCTTCAACTCCTTTAGCAGAAGATAAAGACTCAAGGCCCTCATGGGCATCGGGCTTGCAATGCCAGTATGAGCCTTACATCCACAAATACAATAGGATTGTGCTGAAGGTAGTATTATAGACCAAGGGTGCTTCTACTCAGCTGGTAGCAACCCCCAAACAGGGTTTTCCATGTCCGTTATGAAGCATCACCCCAGCCTCGCATCTCCACCTGATTCATCCACGCCTTCTGTCATTCCCAGTGCCCACTAAAGGGGCTTGATTTCTGGGTTTCCCTTTCCCCATAACAACAGTGGTCTCCTGCCAGTGCTCGCTGGCCTTAGCACTCAGTGCACAGGGAGCCAACCTTTCCTCCTGCTCGAGGACCTGGCTCCATGCTGGTTCCTCCAAGCTGGTTCTGGACTTGTTCCTCCGGGGCCATGGTTTATAGAGAGAAATATGTGTCTGACCAGGAGTTGAAGGCATTTCAATCCACTGAATTTCAGATGACCAGAGAAGCCTCTCTCTTTTATAGAGAGATAAGAAAAATATGTAATTCCTCTTCCTTCCTCTGGTTAAATTTTGTGAGAAGATTTACAAAGCCAAACAGGACCCCCTCATCATGGTGAGCCTTGCGAAACCAGCCTGAAGGTCAACACCAGGTTCATAGTTTGAGTGTATAAGGAACACAACATTGTGTGACCTGTCAGAAAAAGATGAAGCCACAATCATCCTGCCAGTAACTGGGACGGGAGTCTCACCTGTGACTCTTAGGAGTACTTAAGTTCCTTGCAAATTGTTGCATGAGTAGAAAACAAGATGTTTCATCAAATCGGCCAGGTATTTGTAATGGCTTATTTCTCCTCCAATTTTAGTTAGTTTCAAAATTGCTCTCCCATCAATTCAGGCTACCTCCCATCAGTACCACCTGGTATTTCATGCCATTTTGTAATTTTGAGCTCTGTTTTTGCTTCACTCTGGATGATGGGGGCACTGACAGGCCCCTGACTGAGGTTGTGAGCTGGAGAGAAGCTTCCTCTCGGCCCTCCTTCTGAGCGGCCTGGCCTCAGCGTGGCCATTCTCCCAGCAAGCCATGCTGAGAGCCACAGGGTGGAGATGATGTCCATGGCTGTCATGTTTTTATCCTCGTCCTTAGACCATCTCCTCAGAAAATCAAAGCTAAGAATCCCTTTGTATGTGTGACCAGAATCATTAGACAACCAAAGCAGAGCAGACATGCTATTGTCCGGCAATTTCCATCAGGATACATTTTTTTCTGATCTTTCTGATTTTACAGATAAGAAGAAGTTCTTTTGTCCAGACACAATTTCCAGTGTTATTTTCCCTGTAATTGTAGGCAGTGAGCCATTAGTGGCAATTCTTATTAATAGTGGGGAAATTTTACCTCTTCTTAGTTGAGTGAAGTTCATTACAGAATAACCAGTATTTTCTATCCTCTTTTCAGAGGCCTCCAGAGAAAAGTGAACCAGGTAAAGAGAGAGAGAGCGGGACGCCCCATGGGCTTCTGGGGCAGAAAGCCTAATGTAACTCTGGATTTCATGGCTTTACTCTCAGTAAAATATTGACTATGAGCTGGTTTTGGCACAGGGCTGAGGTACCTGTAGTCTTTTGCCTGATTTTCCTTGTGACAATGATAAAAAGTAAGACCACCCACTGAGTTCAGGGACCCAGTCCATGACCTTGAAATGAGAGGATTTTTATCTGCCTGAAACATGCCATTATGGTGACAATTATAGTGTGAAAGAATATGGGATACTTACTATAAAACCAGCAGCCATGAAATGTGGTCATTGCCCAAAGGAATCTTTTGTAGCCATGCAATTATTAGTATCAGCAGAATTAAAACTAATATGTTTGTAGCAGCATTTTATCCTATCAACTGAAGATGTCTAGGAGCCAGATGTTAGGAGTCAATTACAAAATGAGATACTGTTCGGGAAGTGTTTCTGAGCCCACTGTGATGTATAAGGGAGGCCCAGTTTCCAAAGGCATGTGTGGGCTCTGTGTGAAAACTGTGTTTTCTGTAGACTGAGTCTTGCTGGAATTTTAAAGCTGCCCTAGGATGAACCCTGGAGTTTAGCTTTAAGACGTCTGTTGATGTTTTCATTTGGCGATTTGTTGAATCATTTCATATCTGACTCACTAATAACTGATTATTTATGTTATTAGGAAAATTAGGCATTTTGTCTCCCTCAAGAAACTGTGTTGTACCACTGACAATAATAAGCAGGTACAGTATCAGCTCCCTTCGCTGGCTTTGTCTGCTTGGCCGTGCGTCACTTCTGTTCTCTGCTTGTCTCACCACTGTTCTCTGCTTGTCTTTCTCCATGTCTAATTGTAGCTGCCAATTAAGAAGGTTTATGGAAAAATTATGCTTCTTTGACAATTTTTTTTATTTCCCTGCAAGCCTATATAACTTTATTTTTAGTGCACATCAGTTATGATTTAGCTTGTGGCTGAGGAACTCTCTAATATATAAAGTATAAAATTCTTCCTCCAAATAAAAAATGTCCTATTTTTATCTTAATTTCTTAATCAATTGGAAAGTATATATTCATTTGAGCATTTCACCCCTATAAATTCTTACAAAAATAAGAATCATTCCAAATTATTACTATGGCTTTTTTCCTACCTTTGTATCATATGGAACAATGCATTTGAATGTTATCATCTGCAGTAACAGAAGTTTAATAAGCCACTATATTTAAGAACTTTTTAAGGTCATTTTATAATGGAGGGCAACATTGGTGTAGGTATTTTTTCTATTTGGTTAGTATTTTTACTACTGGATTCTGTGTATTTTCACTTCATTGTAGATTATGTATATATTCATATCATTGTAGATTAACCATTATGCAACAAACATAATTATCAGTGATCTATTTCTGAAAGTTTAAAACATATGGCCTTTGATTTTTATGAAGATTTTAAAGAAGGGGCAGTATCTCTAAGGGATTTCAAGGGCTTCTGTGGTGTAATCCATTTTAGTAGGGGATGGCAGAAATGTGTGAAGTGCTGGATGAGAAGGTGAAGCCCAGCCAGGCCTGGACATCACCTGGAACCAACGGCATGTGAGTAGACAGTGGGGTGAGCCCAGTGAGCAGTGAGGATCTTCAGTCAGTTGTCTCAAGGTATCAAAAGGGTCCATGTCCGCATGCTTCTTTAAAAGACATAGTTCAAGATAAAATGCTTCCTCCAGCCCTAAGAATTTCATCTGAAATCAGGATGTTTTCACTTATTACCTTGTGAGAGGCAAGTCTTTGGAGACCTCTGGCAAAGGAAAGAATGGCCTTTCATAGGGAAAAAAACAACGTGTTCCAACAGCCACATTGCAACATACCAGAAGAAAGAATGAGTTCTTCGTAAGAGCTGACAAAGGCAGAAAGAGAGGGACAGGACACCTGGTGTCTCTTTAGAGACAAACTTCTGAACACAAGCAGTGCAGACCAACATTTCTGGGCTGTGGAGCCACAGTAGAGGACACGGGTCCACTGGGGCTCATTCATTCTCATGCTAGAAATTGACCAAGCACAGTTCTTGTCCAGTTCATGCCCTTCCCCCACCAACTCAGCCTTGCTCCTCCTTACCCCCTTTCTCACTTAATGACAGGGACCCCCACTCTCCCTGTCACCAGTCTCCCTGCAACTCCATGCACCCAAATCCTACCAGTTCTTCATGGCCCAGTGCAGGAAACATTAAGTAGCACCTTCCTCCTGAAGGCCCCCAGGGTACCCTCTGTACTTTGTATCACTCCCGACCATTTTCACAGCTATTTGTGTGCTAAACTGCCCTCTCCCCTCTAGCAGGGCCACTGGTCTGTGCTGTCCTGCGTGCTCACACTGCCTGGCATGTAGTAGGCCCTCAAGCTGCTGGCTAACGTGAATGAAACAGAATGTCTCAGTCCTGGCATCCTGCCTGCTGTAAAGTCCTCCTGTCCCACTGGGACAGCATGCAAGCCCTTAGCACCAGACTGGAGGATGCAGGGGTGGGGGGCCACCTGCTTTTTTCCTGAGGCTCTAAATAGAAACGCCTTTACCACCATGAATTAGCTGCTGCTCTGAGAAAAGTGGAAACGCAGAGCTCAGATACCCTGAGCCATTGACGTCACCTAATGGTACTGCACAGGCCTAGAGAGACATTTAGAGTTTCTAATAACAAAGCATTTTTATACCTCTGGCTAGCTTCAGTGTTGCTTCTTCTCATCAAAGGAGGCTGCAGTGAATGGCAGTGGGATCTGTTCCAGAGAGGGCTCCTGTCTGCAGGTGGTTCCGGTGGTGCAGTTTTCTGGGGTTTAGCTCTGATGTCAAAATCAGCTCATGGGTTTGCATTTTAACAAGGAGTGATGCCGTAAGCCAGGCTGCTGTCTCCTGGTACTGCTTGCTGTCAGCAAAGATTCCTTTTCCTATATGAGCCTGTAGCTTTTTGCCAAGAGGGTGGAAATGCTCAGTGAGGTTTGTCTGCTGTCTTTCCCTCCTCTGCACACACATTTTCTCCCCAGGTATGAGGTAAACACCTGTTCTGTACTGGCACTAGGGATGCAATGCATCTGCCCCAGATGCCAGGGAGGCCACAGACAGGTAAACAGAATAAATGGAATGCAGCACAGAGGAGGTGTGAACCAAGCACTGGAGAAGCTCAAAACCCAGGACCTAAGGAGGTTATCTGAGATTTGTAGGTATTGTCTAAAGCAGGGGGTAAGAAACTAGAGCCTACAGGCCAAATGTGGCCTGCACTGTAAATAAAGTTTTACTGGAACACAGCCACACTCTCTTGTGTGTTGCGCCTCTGGCTGCTTTCATACTATGGTGGCAGAGCTAAGGCCACATGGCCTGCAGAGCCTGAATATTTACCCTCTGGTCCTGCACAGGAAAAGGTTGCTGACTTCATTTCTTGAAGATAATTTTCTTTCTTGGATGTTCCATTTTCTTAGGCCAGCAACAGTCTACCCTGACCTCCCAGAAGTACCCCTTCTCTCCTTCATACACTTATTTTTGCCTTCGTGCCAACCTCTGCATCCTGTCTCAAACTTTATCTCACCTCTCCATACTGGTGTGAATATGAGGACCATGGTCCCCTGAAGCTTTTGCCTTTTTATGAAGACAAAATCCAAATGCAAATGCATGACTCAAACTTCAGAATTTCAAGGATCTGCAACCATGGTCCAAGAGTCATACTTGCACAGAGAAAAAAGGAGGCAGTTAGGGCCCTGACGTTATATCAGCTCTTGTTTTTTTTTTTTTTTTTTTTTTTTAAATAGAGTCTCACTAGACTGGAGTGCAGAGGCACGATCTCGGTTCACTGAGTTCAAGCGATTCTCCTGTCTCAGCCTCCTGAGCAGCTGGGATTACAGGTGTGTGCCACCGTGCCCAGCTAAGTTTTGTATTTCTTGTGGAGACGGGGTTTCACCAGGTTGGCCAGGCTGGTCTTGAACTCCTGACCTCAAGTTAGCACCTCCTGATCCACCTGCCTCGGCCTCCCAAAGTGCTGGGATTACAGATGTGAGCCACCGCACCCAGCTATCAGCTCTTCTTTTTACATTTTAATGTGGCTGCTAGAAGTTTTTAATTACATGTGTAGTTTGCATGCATGGCTCACACAATATTTTTATTGGACAGACCTGGTCTGAACTTTCTCTCCCTTGCCAAATCCTATCACAGATTCACCTCACCTGCCCTTTTGCAGGTGACTGGATGCTAATGAGCTACAGACATCCTCTTGTTTCTAGCAATGAGTCAGCCCCAGACTCACTGAGCCTCCAGGAAACGATGCTGTAACCAGTTTCCCAGGCAGCTAGGAGGCTTTTACTTTCCCTAGAGGACATTCTGATGGGTGCTTAAGCAAACATTTAGAGAATGTTTTTGTGGGGAGATGCAGAGCCTCTTTCAATCATTCTCAAACTGCTGCAGAAAGTTAGGTCTCACTTTCTAGTAGAGCTCTTTGTTGGACAGCGGGGAGTACCATGCCCTATTGAGCAAACTCGGGCAAGGGGACACCACAGGCCCCAGAAAACTGAACAGAAGTGGGATGCATGGGAGCTAGTGAGGGCCAGTGGACAGTTAGACATGGTCACCATCCCTAAGTTGTCTGGGCAGCAAAGTGGGGAAGGCTTATTCTTGAAGGGACCACATACACTTCAAAACCCTTTAGCTACAGGTTGAGATGGTGGGTTAAAGAAGATGGTCAGCCCCCCCAGTCAGAATGACCTCCTGCCCTTTTGTGAGAACAGAGCAAAGCCACCAATTGGCAGCTAGTAAGATTGTTTTTCCTGGCACAACCTGGCTTCACCAGCATGTCACAGAGGAGACTGCCCCACATTCTCACCAGGCTCCAGGATCTTCTCTTCAAGCCCAGCAGGTCCTGGAACATGGCCCTTGTCTGAGATGTGTGCAATCTGAGTGTGACTGACAGGCTGCTCAAGTACCTTTGGTCGATTTCTGTCCAGCCTCGCAGAACTGTGCTCACAGCCAGCTGAACTCACAAGCACCCAAGTACTCAAGGAAAGAATCCTTGAGTACTGTGCCCAGTACTCTGGGAAAGAGGCAGCCTCACACCATCTTTCTTTTCTCCCTCCCTCTTTTGCCTTCTCTCTTTTATCCATACTCTACCTTCAGTTGCCTTCTGTAGGCCTCCAGAGAGTCCACAGATTTTCCCATCCAGTCCTTACATCTGCTTGGACCATCCTCTCAATGGGTTTCTGCTGCCCGTGACCCTCAGTGGCTCATTCTGGTTCCCACCCTCAGGCTGGCCTTCTCTTGGATGTGTCCTTGGCCTCCACTGCCCCATGGCTTTACTCTCCCCACATTTGCCCATTTCTGTCTGTTTCACCTCTTTCCTTTCTAGGGGTGGTGTGGCCAATGGGCCTTCGCATGATGTGGGGCCTTCTCCTTCAGCTTCTGGCAAACCAGGATCCTTAGCCCTGACAGAGTCTAATTTCTCACGGCATTCTCAGCAGAACTGAGAGAAGAGAGTGGTGGGAGCAAGAACGAGGAGAGAGAGCTTCAGGGATTTACTTACTGGGTTCTGTTCATTGCTAGGTAGTGATAAAAACAAAATTTTGGTTTATCCTAAATTCCCAGTATTTGGCCCTTTGTTCATGCTTTTAAATGGTGTGGACCTTTTCTTGCATCCCTGTCCTTTAGGACTCAACTCAGTTTCTCCTCCCTCCAAGAAATCTGCCAAACCTTCCAGCCCATGTCTCTACCCTGCAAAAAGGGGGCAGGGTCACTTTTT